AATATGTAAATAAGATAAAGAATTCACATGCTTGTAAATCGAGTTATAAATATTTTTTGAGGTGTAGTTGATTGATAAATTTTCTAATCTTTGTTGGTTTAATAATAAATTGGAAATCGATTGATCGATTTTCATGTAATCATACTCGTTCAATAGTAATTTGGAAATCGAATGATCAATCGCAAAGTCATCTATTCTAACATCCAATGATAGGTTGTTGATTTGATTACAATTACTCGTGATGATACTAAAGAAATCAAGGAATTCGTTTAAATTCATCTTATTAACCCTGTGAGGATTTCTATACTCGAGTTGGGTTAGTTGACTTAACCAATCAAAAGAATTATTGGGGCTTAACTTATTTAATGGAATAAAATTAAAATTATCATAAGTCCTAACACGAAAGTAATTAAACGTTTTAAATCCGCTTAAGGCATTTTCCTTGAGGAGAACCTTGCCGAGTAATTGCGTGAGCATACGCGACTTTGTAAAATCCTTGCAATCGTTGGGATACCTAACAACCCACCTATGTACTGATTTAATAAAGTTATCGTAGTCCAACACTCTTATCAATTGTAGGTAATTGAACTGGTGACTCGTAAAAGGTTCAAACTTTAATTTTTGATACTCCAAGATGTTCTTTTCTTGTTCGGAAAGGAACGAGATGATGGTATTTATTAATTGCGCATTCTTTTTTCCATCGAGAGCGATCGAAAAGGGACGACGCCATAACACAGGAATTGAAAGTGCGCACCAAAGTTTGTTTACTTGAGCGCACATGAATAGAGAATTCAAGTTGGTTATGGTTGAGGCGATGATGTTCTCGTTTGAAATGTCGGTATAAACATGTTGAAAAATTCTCTCAAGGCAATCGGGTGGAAGATTTTGAAGGTTAATAAGTGATCCACGTTTTGATTTTCTTAATTTTAAGGAATTTCTAACTCGAAGTTTTATCTCTTTCACTATCCCCATCTTTAAGGTGTGAAAATTTTTGTGGAAAAGCGTGAAAATTTATTTTTAAGTATATATAAATAAATTTTTTTTTTTATTAAAAAAAAAAAAAAAAAAAAAAAAAGAACCTAGAAAAAAAAAGATTTTTTTTTTTTTTTCCGAATTTTTTAGCTCTTTTTTAAACTATTTTGAAAATATCAAACAAATAAAAAGTTTAAATTAAATAGGGGATGGCGTAAAAAAGCAAACTGATCCAAATTAGAATAACAGCTAACAAATATAAAATAAAAAAATAGCCTCAATAAGCTTTTAAAAAAGTGGTTCGGCCCTACGAATAATCTAATTATCTGATCATTACCATTTATCGCATGTTTATCTCACATAAGTGGAACATCCATTCCCGCTTATCACTGGTATGGTAAAAAGTTTGTCTATGATAGGGTTCACAATATCCAAATGAAGTTATTTGTTATCATTAAAAAGACTAATTTGTGAAATGACAAATTATTTTGATTTACGATGATGTTTCACAACCATCTAAATGTTGTAGTTATAATCACTGTTTCCTTTCGTACTTTGGTAACCATCTCGGCCATTGAAATGATAAAGAATTATTATTGTTTAAAATTCCACAATACCAATTAATATTTTAATGGATGTTATATTAATGATAATCAACCAAAAAATTTATTTTCGTGTTACCTAAGAAATGCTTTTTTGTTGAGATCTAAATAAGAATTCACTTTCTTTTAGCTATCCTAACGGGGCAGACAGAACAACAAAGAATTAAAAAAATTTCGGATTCCTTTTAAAGCATGCCCGACAACGTTAGCAAGTTCATTGTGAATTTTTTTAAAAATAACGCTCGTTTGGATGTCTATTTCCATATATATAAACAACGTATGATATTTCCTTACATGGAACGTTTTACAAAACGTAACAGTGGGCATTGAATTTTGTAGACCAATAAATTAATTTACATGCATGATTATAGATAACCTCCCTTTCAGGCTAAAATTTTATTGGTAAAATCTTACATTCATAATTTATTCGAACGAAGGAAAGATGATGAACTATTTTTAATTATAGCGTAATACGTTTTTGCGATCTAACTTAAACCTCATTTAATTTTCCTGTTATCTTTGTGTCAAAAAAAAAAAATTGATAAAAATCATATGCTACATTTTTACGAATCTAACTTTTTTTTTCGAAAGTAAATTAATAAATAAATAAATAAAACCTTGTTTGTTTATAATGCAACTATATATTAAAAAATTTCACGATCAATGTAAATTTTTATCCATTGATAAATCAATACCTAGTATTTATTTTTCATTTAAACTCGACAGCCTTGTCTTCTAAACTTGTCAATCCATTCACACAATATAAATGATGTATTGATTTGTCAATTTGCTAACCAAAATAAATTTATTATTTAAACTAGTCATGGGACGGACGATCATAAATTTTTTTGAAAAATATCCCAAAATATGTGGATGGCTTTTCCAAATCCTTATAAACATTCTCAAATACTATTAGTTGTCCCGTGACTTTTAAATTAGCTGTAACTCATTTTTATTTCAAATTTTGATGCTTTTGTGATGATTCTATGGGCGGGTCATATTAACTATTTACTATTAGTTTATATTTTCTTAAAATTAAGTATTAAGTTGCACTGTATTTGGACCGAAATTTTCATTGAAGTTTCGGGAGAAGTCACATGTTTTCGGCGAAATTTAAGTATCAATGGCCGAAATTAACCAGCAAACCTTTAAAATTATCATCAGAATCCCAATATACTATACATAAAAAATACATTGTTTAACGGCATTTTTTTTTAAAGTCGACAAAGGATTTAATTAAAATATTTAAAAATGTAATATCCTAACGATTATCGCTCCAATGTTAATTAAACAATTAAATTTGTCACATTTAAAGAATTACATGTAGTTATATGTTAACTAAATACCGGAAGTCTTAACTCAACAATCACATGATTTGTTTCAAATTTTTTGCCGCCGATTTTTGTAATATCTACCAATTAAAAAGCGAGAATTTTGTGTAACAAAAAGGCGGGTTACGATTATTTAAATAAAAAAATAGACAAAATGGTCCTTTTTTACTTTTTAACCTTTTACATAA